TGATCCACACAACCAAACACCTTTGCATAGTCAATAAAGCACAAATAGACATTTTCTGGTATTTAGCAATAACTTCCCTTATCTCTTCTAAATCCAGCTTGAAGAACATATGGCAGCTCTTGTTCTATGTTCTGTTCTAGCCATTTTTAAATGAGCCTCAGCAGCATTTTGCTTGCATATAGTATTAATTATATTGTTAGTTAATTTCCACATTCTGTTGGATCACCTTTATTGTGAATGGGGAAGAAAAAATCATGGATCTCTTCTAGTCAGTCAACCAGGCAGCTGTCCTTCAAATTTCCTGGAATAGACTGGTGAGCATGTCCAGGGCTCCATTTGTATTTAAAACATTTTCGTTTCATCTATTCCTAGGTTTTGGTTTGTGTTTTTTCCCCCCAACTACTTCAGTGCAGCTTAAGTTTCTTCCTTTGTTATCATTGGCTCTTGATCATATGATATTTTCTGAAATATTTGAGTGTCAGTCAATTCTTTTTGGTATGGTGACTCTGTGCATTTGCTCTATCTTCTTTTGGTATTTCATGAACCATTCAAGATGTTGTCCATAGTATCTGTAAGTTTTGCAGCACCAGCCTGGGGTTTGTATTTCAGCTCCTTCAGCTTGAGAAATAATGAGCAAGTTCTTCCTTTTTTATTCTCCTGTTCTAGGTCTTTGCACATTCTGTTATAATAATTTGCGTTGTCTGCCCAAGTTGTTCTTTGAAATCTTCTATGTAGGTATTTTATTTTAGCATCTCTTCCCTTTATTTTGTCTTCTCAAGCTCTAGTACAATTTTCAGAGCCCCTTCTGACATTCATTTTGGTCTTTTCTTTCTCTTCTGTTTTTCGTGAACTTTTGCTCTCTCAACCCACAACTCATTTGGTTTTTTACCATTGGTATTCAGTGCTTCAAACCTATTCTTAAGATGATTTTTAAATTTCAGTGGAATGGACTCACAATTTTGGTTCTAGAGGACTTGGTGGAGAAAAGATTGAGAAGTTGTCAAGAATTTCATTTTACTTGGTTCCGTATCAAAACTCATGGCAACAGCAGCCAAGAGATCAAAAGACATATTAAATTGGGAAAATCTGTTGTCAAGGACCTCTCCAAAGTGTGAAAAACCAAGGATGTCAGTTTGAAGACTAAGGTGTATGTAATCCAATCCATGGTCTTTTAAATTACTTGGAAAATTCATAAAGGTGACAGAAGAAAAACTGATGTCTTTGAGTTGTTGTGTTGAAGATTCTTGAACATCCTAAGGACTGTGAAAAGAGCAAACAAATCTGTCTTGGAGGAAGGGCAAACAGCATGCTCTTTAGAGGCAAGGTTAGTGAAACTTCCTCTCCCATAATACCTTGGGCATGTTATCAGGAGGGGCCAGTCTTTGGAAAAGATATCATGCTGGGAAAGGTGAAGGGTCAGAGAAAAAGAGGCAGCCCCTCCACAAAATGGATTGGGATAATGACAGTAAAAATGGGTTCAAGCATGGCAAAAATTGTGAGGTTGGAGCGGCTATGGCAAGGTTCAAAGCTGTTATTCATAGGGTCATTATGAGTTGTTATGTTAATGACATCTACCAACAATAACAACAAAGATGATTGGTCTATTCTTTATACTTCTGCACATTTAAACATTTTTCATAATAAAAATTATTTTTAGTGCAACAATGAATAAATGGAAATCCAAAGTCTCTGTAAATTTTCATTAAAAT